AATAGGACAAATATCGTGTCACACATAATGCAAACGGATATGTTTCAGAGGAGTGAAAATTATTTGAACGTCTCATGGTCTAACGCCGCACCCCCACGTCGAGAGGTCTGGGTTGGAAACCTGGAGAAACAGCGAACAGTCCGGAAAAAGTAAGCAAATTGCCGAGCGTTCGCATTTTTTTAGACTGCATTCCTTGCAGGAGGTGTAGTGATACTCCCAGTTGCGTTAAACCACGGGATCTAAGATAAGCTCTGCTAGCAACAGGATACTACACTTGATTCTAAAAAAAGGAGTCTTCAAAATCTTTTTGGCGAAAACAGTTGGTAATCAATTTTAATCTTTCTCAAACAAGTTACTAGGGGCACAACATAGATTTTTATATAGTTGTGGAAGGTGTGGAATGAAAGGCATACCGAGAAAAGCTGTTTCGTAGCAACACAGAAACGCTTGATACATGTACTTACCAGGAATACAACCAATCAGATTACGAGGATTTTTTTTCACCAGTTCTACCCGCGTCTCCCCGAGTGTGCAAAAGCGCCTCTGAGATAAGGAGGAAGGTCCTGGGGGAAAATCAAAACGAAGTCTGCTGTACCCCCTGATAATGCCTAAAAAACAAAATGGATGGTCAAGCCTGCGTCTGGGAGGCTAAGCGATATAAAATAGGTCACACTAGGCTAGAGTCACATTATGTAAGTGCCTGGGAGAGAGTTCCATATTTTGCTAGCTAAGTATGAAAAAGAGTGCAGACCGTATGTCGTTGTTTTTGGGTTGGGAAGGGACATGATATGATTTCCGCGCAAATTGTAAGATGAAGACCGTACCGTGAACATATCTTTTAAATAACCTGGATAATTCGTAAAGAATAGACTCTTGTAGTAGGAGTTGTTACTTCGTTCTTGTTCAGAAACTGTTTAATGTTATTTAATTAGAAAATCAGACTGAGGTATTTTTTGCGTGGACGCAATAGTCTCCATTATTGTTATGACGTTTCGTACCAATGTTGATTCGCATCAGAAGAAGCAAAGATTTATTGTTACAATTTCAATCGTTCGAATGCAGTAGTTTGTTGGCATCTAATTCTTGCGTATACTGTACGACTCGCTATAATAAATGCGGCAGGATTGGAACGAAATGGCTGTTTTTCTTTACCTTTATTGAGGAATGTTGTGTTGTGATTGAAAAGAACATCGACAAAAAGCTCGCAAATAGAATTAGTCACCAAATATGATACAAACGATGCTTAAAAGGAAAGTTTGGTAGGGGGTCCAAATCTGCGAAGGGGGGTCCATATCCGCTAACGGATTTGGACCGGAGGGGTCCAAATCCGCTTTGACACCGGAAATAAGGATGAAAATATTCTAGAAAGACCACCAGTGAGAGGAGTTTTTGTATGGAACCAGGGTTTTGGGAATCCCGGAACATAATGTGGATTATATGCAAAACGGACAAATCACATGAGAAGTTTCGTGGCATTGTATTGTTTATCCAGAGTATCTGCGAATAACTTTGCCCTGTTATCCAACTGCACAACTAAAAAATAATAAATGAAATAACGCGCGAGTAGAGTAAAAATATCCTTCGATTTTGAACGGTTGTTTGGACAGTTGATTATTTTGTACTGTAAAAAAAAACCTTTTTATTAACCAATCGGCTGTGCACGCTACGCTTTTCTATCTGCTTTGCTTTTCCCGCCTTATGAGAAATGAGCAGAAAGATGACTGGAAATATATGAAAATCATATATGTGCACTGCGGTGAAGAAATGAGATCTAAGCGATCCTCGCAGCTATGAATACTACTAAACTAGTAGTGGAAATGAGACCTGAAAAAAAATCGAAGAGAAAAATGCAGTTGGATAATGAATAACTTTTAAGAAGTTTTGGTGTGTACTATCACTGAGTATTTTTACTCGTTGTTTGTATTGTAACTCGCCTTACGGTCTCGTCAAAATTCGGCGTAACTCGTAAAGATACTCAGCGATACTACCCACCAAAACGTCTGGTAAAATATATATTTATATATATATATATATATATATATATATATATATATATGTATATATATATATATTAGCATGCGCAAATTAACTTAATAGAAGCTTTTGGCCAGAGCTTGTCAGTATCGCGAGTTGAGCAATGAAGTCCTTCTTGCTTCTGGCGGCTTAGTTCCACCAGCCCCTCATGGTTACTCGAGGCAAATGTTGATTTTATTTTTCTGTTTAACCCTTTAGCCTCTAGGAGTGATTTACATCTAATTTCTCCTTACCATATCGGCCCTGAATCAAACATTAAGGTCAGGAGAGTAAAGGAGCTGATCACCGACTAAAGAAGCTCTTGATTGTTAGACAAATTCTCCAAGTCGGCATCTCAGGATATGTTTGGAGAAGATACTTACTGATGTTAGGGTGTAAAGGGTTAAGGAAATTTATAGTTTGGGCATGAAAGAGGAATATTAAGGTTGTCGCTGCGACTGCTGTCGTTTTGTCAACTGAAACATGACACCGAGTTTCAGTACACAATGGGGGGGGGAGGGGGGGAGGTGAAACCAAATGACTCATGTCTGCGACGCGTACAAAATAAAGTGGGACGGAAATGATTTTTTAAAGAGGGGTCACACTTTGCTAACCCAGAGTTCACACCAAGCAATTTACAAATGGGAAACCGTGGTGAAAGAAAAAAAAAAAGGCTGGCTAAAACCCAAATTTCTACCGAGGGGTGATTGATCGATATACTGAAGCCTACGTGTAGCCGTACCCTCCCTCCGCCAAGGGGAAACGGAGGCGAGCGGGGGAGGGTACGGCTACACGTAGGCTACATATGCTGCCGAAATGTGATGGGGGGTGGTAGTCGAATGAAAGCAGGTAGCACGAAAAACTCTCCAAAACACCTGGGTGTGGGTTCCATCAATGTGATTTTTATTTACAAAAAACGGAGAGACTACGCGCGCTGTTATTAGTCAACAGATATTTTTATTAGAGAGTAACTACTGAACTAAACTTGTGACACTTTAGATTCGCACATATTTTGAGAAGTATTTTAACACAGCATAGTAGTATGATTAATTTTTTTTTTCACCGGTCTTCGCCGAAAAAAAGATACTGCATGCAGTGGCAAACTAAGACACCAAAAAGAGATAGATGCAGACAACCAAGTCGATTTTTCCCCATTTATGTCAAGTTAAAGGAAAGACGAGATGGTGGTGTTGACAGGACGGTTGTCTATCAACCACTTCCACATCGCTTGAGAGCCCGTGAGACGAGAGCGTCTAACACAAAGCTAGATAACCCTTCTGTGAAAGACGTCAAGTAACTTTGAGTTTGTCTAAGTGTCCAGAAAAAATTTAGAGGGGAAATTTAGGAACAAAACAAGCCTCGCTAGGCTATCCTATCAACCAAATCAACCTTTGGGCGGAAAGGCAAAGAGCTGACAAACAAAATCTCCTCTGGTCCTCTGTCAGTACTGTTCCACTGTCCCCACTGTTCCTCTGGTCTTACTGTACTGATCCTCTGTCACCACTGTTCCTCTGGACCTACAGTTCTTATCCTCTGTCCCCACAGTTCCTCAGGTCCTACAATATTGATCCTCTATCCTTAGTGTTCCTCAGGTCCTAGACAGGGTTTTCATTTACTTTTGAAGTAGAAGGGCACTACCTTGTGAGTGGGCAGGTGCACTGTAAAATTGAGGGTCGAAGGCCCGAACCTCTTGGGGGGTCTGGGGGCATGCTCTCCCCACGAAACTTTTAAAACTTAAGTCTCCCAGAAGCACATTTTACTGCAATCTGGTAAATAAATTTTCCTGGAATGACGCATACTTACTCTAATTATAGTAAAAGAAATAATGGTACTCTGGGAGAATTTGTTTATTTCACTACACAGCTATAGCTACATCAAAACACTGCTCTTGTTCTCAGAGCTTCCTTTCTTCTTACAGTTACAAGTTTGCTTTAACTGATAAACTGATAAAGAGTGAAACTGACAACACTTTTTGTAGTTTATGAAAATTCAAAGTCAGAGCCCTAGTCAATTACGTTAATGCCTTTGGTCACCATGTGCCACCTAGCAGTTAAAAATTAAAAACAAATCTTGATGGAACATTGGAGTCTGATACACAATTAGCCCTTGCCGAAAACAATTTTTACAAAACCTCCGATGGGCTTTACAAAAGCCACATGGACTTTATCTTGAATGAAAATTAAATTGGAACAACGTCTCTTCAATTGCTCGGAATATTTAAGCTTTAAAGCCGACAAAATGTTGGCTTATTGAGACGCACGTGTCAACTGATGAGCATCTTTTACGGCGACATTCATCTCCTGTTGTTTATTTTATATTCCGAATTGTATTTCAGAAAAATACAAAGTGTTTTAGAACAGTTTAAATAATGGAAAACGTAGAAAGCGTACGTAATTTTTCGAAAAACCTTTCCAGCGGCTGTAATCGAATTAAAACTGGAAACATAAATTTAATTTTCCTTATGCAAATGAGTTCTTGCACGAGTTTTACATTTGTTTGCCACGATGACTCCGCAGAACGCCTTGCCTTTATGGCACGTCACATGTAAGAGTTATAAAATAGCAAATTTGGCACTTTAGGAAGAGACAGTCCTAAGAACGCCATTATCGCGCCGCGCCTTTTTCATTCAAGTAAATTTTATCTCCACGATCTGATGGCAAGTAATTGATAAATAAGTGCAGAAAAAATGTTTTAAACTTACAGGGAAGAGTTAATATTTAGATGAGGTTGATAATTTTTTTCATGACGATTTTCTTTTTTTCATTTCGTACTTTAAGTAGCCGGGTACTCTGATCAAAGTAGACGGGTGCCGGTACCCGGCTTCTAATAAAAACCCTGGTCCTTGAGTGCTGATCCTCTGTCCTCACTGTTCCTCAGGTCCTACAGTACTGATCCTCTGTGCTCACTGTTCCTCAGGCCCTCAATCCTCTACCGACCTTATATCTTCAGTTATGAACCATTTCAGATTCCATTACATGAAAGATCAGTCACTTTTCCGATTTCCGCTTGTCTCTTCACTTCGTCCCGTCTTTTCTGCGGACGGATGCTGGTCAAATTGCAAGCTTTCGCCGACAGATAACGGGTCTTGCTACGGATCATCTGGCCCTATCTCCGGTCGGTCACGACAGGTATCATCAGGCTCCTGCTCGTTTACACGGCACAAAACTGAATAGAAATTAAAACAAAGAGTTTCGTTTAGTTTTGTTTATGCACAGGTAGACCAAACTCGAGCAACGAGCCTCCCTAACATGAAAGGATTTGTACGAGGTGAACGATAATAACCTTAACCCAAAAATATGGATGCATATTATTGCTTTATTGCCTTCCTTGATGTTCGTTCCAGAGAGCGAAAAATGACCTCAGCAAGTCGGGATCGCCCATCAGCCTCTCAAACATATCTGGCATCTCGTCCAAACACTCAAACCAAGTTTCTCCAAGCTGGTCACCAGCTGAGGATGTTACTCTCACCTGAACTTTGCCAGGTTTTAAAGAAGCTGAAGCACAAATAGGAAAAATATCGTGTCATACATAATGTAAATGCAGGGCGTGAAATTGCGCCTAATACAGGCGCCAATGCGACTAAATTTTTCACTTTGGCGACCAAATCCTGAAAGTTAGTCGCCAAATTGGCGACTAGAACGTTTCATTATAACCTTACAAAGAGATATAGAGAATTTAAAAAATTTGCAAAGATAAATCCGCGGCAAACTTCCTCGTTAAGTTTGTTTCCAAAACGTAGCACATGCATCTCGATCGATAACTAGACGCCATCTTGGATTTAGATAAGCCTGAACGTTGTATATCATCCATCCTAGTGTCCACTTTGTAGCACGTTAAAGATCTTTTCCCTAACTTAATTTTGGAGGGCCTATCTAGAACGCTGACAGCGTAAAGAAAGATTTTGTTTGTCTTTGAAAATGGCGACCAACTTTTTTTGAATTGGCTACCACTTTGGAGAATTTAGGAGCCAAGTGGCTATCAGAAAAAAAGTTAATTTCACGCCCTGAAATGGATATATTTCAGAAGAGTGAAAATTATTTGATCATCTCACGGCCCAACGCTGCACCCCCGGTCGAGAGGTCTGGGTTCGAGACCTGGAGAAACAGCAAACATTCCGGAAAAAGTAAGCAAATTTCTGAGCGTTGGCATTTTTTTAGACTAGCTTTCCTTGTAGGGGGTGTGGTGATACTCCCTGTCGTGTTAAACCAAGGGATGTAAGATAAGTACTGATAGCAACGGGATAATACCCTTGATACTAAATAAAGGAGTCTACATAATTTTTTTGGCGAAAATAGTTGGTTCTTAGTTTTGATCTTTCTCACATAAGTTACAAGAGGCACAACACAGATCTTTTTAGGTTATGGAAGGAGTGGAATGAAAGGCTTGATGAGAAATGCTGCTTCCTAGCAAGGGGAAAGACAGAAACACTTGATACATGTACCTACCAGGAACAGCGCCAATCAGATTGAAATCATTTTTTTTTTTCAGTTTTACCGCCAGCATGTCCCCGAAGTGTGCATAGGCATCTTCGACATCATTTGGAAGGGCCTTGGGAAAAACCATGACAAACAGTACTACAAGCTGTAATAATTGCTGAAACACACAATGGATGATTAAGGCTTCGTCTGGGAGGCTACGTGATATAAAATAGGTCACACTAGGCCAGTGTCACATTATGTTATGAAGAGCAATCTGTCACACCATGTAGAATACTAAAATAATACAAATAATACAAATACTAAAACAACAACAACAACTACAAAACAAAACATGTCCAGTTCCTCTTAATTTTCTCAAGTCAAATACGAGGAATTGCCACACATTCACCACAAAGCAAAAGTCTTTACCGTAATGGATATTTCCTTTGGCTCCATTCTAACTGTAAATAAACAAACATAATGTTTGTTAGTCTAGGAAAAAAACCTGGACAAAGTAGAGTCAATGTAATTCAACCCCACCCCCCACCCCCCCCACCCCCCCCCTCTCCAAAGAAAAAAGATGCAATGTACATCTCTAGGGAAAGAAAGATTACCTTGACTTTCCTCTATATAACATAATCAGCAAAACAAACAACAAAAGTATATATACTCAATCAAGTATAGAAGTAATCCAGAATTATATTGGTAAAACTTGAGCCACCTTCTCAACCAATTAGATGCAAGTAAAACCACTCGCAACCAGATCACTCTCGTTTTCCAGTGCTTTGTACGATTTACTTGTTTCTACTTTGGGTTCTGATTGGCTATTTGAGATGTTTTCCTTCATTCTGACTGGTCAATATTACTATTTGGTGCTGATTTTATCACACTTAGAGTGTGCTTTTCCCCTTTTGTTCTTATAGAATTTAATTTCCAAAGATTCTTATAAAGAATAGTTACAGTTTTCACATTTGGAAACAATATGTAAATGCCTGAAAGAGTAATGAAAAAATGCATATGCAACAAATAAAATGTATCTTTAGATTGTGATGAGGCCTCTAAAAATAGCAAGTTTAATGATATTGATAAACTTTTTGTGTTATGAAACAGTTACTAATAGTCACTAGAGGATTAAACATTCTTATCTATGATTCAATGACATGCAGCTTGCCTCTGCATAGCTGGACAAGTTAAAAGATTTGAAATTATATCATTTCTCTACTTTTAAATTGATGACTTCTGCAGCCTGAAAAGTGATGTTCAAGGAGTGGTAGACTTAATTAGAAATCAACTTTCTATTCCTGTGCATGATGGTAGATTCGAGCTCCACCTTCATCTACTATCTCATGATGGATGTCTCTAGCTCATAATCTAATAATAAGTGTGACAGTGACAGTGGAGACCATACTATTGATATTTTATTACATTGTATCACTTACCACAACTTTGAGTTGTGGTTGCTCCAATGCCATAACTAGGGACTGAAACGTCCTCAAGTTGTTGTGTTATGCCAGTATTGCTACTGTGCAACATAACCCCTTGCATATCATTGACTTGTTGTTCATCGCCGACATTGCTTCTCTGGGACATTGGTTCTGAATAAGCCCTTCCTTCCTCATTTTTAACTGTGAAAAAAACAAAACAAAAAAGTTTAAAGCAAAGTATTCTAATGACTTGACTTAAAAAGTTTTGGGCATTTTACAAACCGTCAAATATATATGTACATTAATAAAAAAATACACAGTCAAAGTCTGCACATGGCTACTGCCATAACGAAATTTTTATAGCAATGAAAAGAACTAAAGGTTGTATAATAACAGTAGAAGGTAGTGTTGCCAAATATTTGTCACATGCAAAACAGAAAACCTGCTGCATCCCACATATTTATAAGTACACTGTTCTATCAGAGAAAGATGAATATATCGTTTAATTGACATCCAACAAATTTAGCTGCTCTTTTCCACATAAGTTGCTGATTCAAACTGTAAAATTCTCTTTTTTCAAAGAAAAAATAATTCATCAAGGCTTCCATGATGTGCAGATCACATCTATTGTGAAATTTCTGCAAAGAAAGTCTGGATTTAAATTATGTGTAGATGGATACCATTGTGAAATTATTTTGACAAGTTTAGTCTCTTTTAGTGTCACAGGAGGAACTAAATAGATCATATCTTTGGATCTCTATAATTTTTTGTATCAGATTTAAACAGTAAAATGCTCTTTCTTCCAAAAAGACATTTTTTTTTAAGTTTTGTTATGCCCTGATCACACCTATTAACTAAAGATATTTCTGCAAGAAAAACTTTTGTTTTTAATTGCATGCAATCCATAAATGATTGAGATGGTTGTTGTCTTCTTCTGTCTTCCGTAGTGTCACAGCAAGAACTGAATAGCACTTGGAAGCATGTGGTCAAAATTGGGTCGAGATCGGAACTCTACTGTTACACTCACTCACTCACTCATCTTGGTGACATATGCAGCTTTGCCTCCTATTGAAGGCAGTAACCACAAAAATTCAAATGATTTTAAACCAAACCTACACTTCAAATCTTGTGAAGGCCAGCTCTGAACAAAATACTGTGTAGCCCAACTTGTTTATGTGTGAGATCATGTCATGATCAGATTGGCAAAAGAGTGACAAATTGGCTAACAAAACAGTTGGTTGCAACTTGTTCACTTCCAGCAAATGGCAAATGGTGAGCAACATACATCCTAATGCTTCTCTATTCAACAATTGAAAAGGAATCAGAGGAAATTACACCACTTTATTTCTACATGAAATCTTTGGTAACCTTATTTTAACTTGTGGTACCAACGCAAAGAAACTCCCATATGCAAATGAGTCACTCACTCACTCAGGCAAATGACACTATTGAAATTAGTTGTAACAACCTTGCCTGAGCCTTAGAAGCCACACATAAATTAGCCAGGCTAGTTGCAGTCTGACTGATTAAATTCAATTATCTTATGTAAACATCAGCTGCTGGATCAATCAGTAACACTTTGGTGGACAAAAATAACCCTGTGCTTTTTGTACAAAAGGAAACTCACTGAAGTCATTTCACATATCCTTAATTTCAAACAGTCAAGAAAACTTTTGGTATATAAAATGTATTGTGAGGTATATGGTTTTGAGATGCAAAAGTTTAGAAGTTTGATGTTAGATGCAAGCGAGAGAAAACTTTGTAAACAAAGATCATTGCATCAAAATGCAAATATTTATTGAGCGACTGTGAGGCAAAAGATAACATAGGAGAGGAAAATAGCAGGCAAAAAAAGGTTTGGATTGCAGAATTTAAATAAACCCAGGATATTACTTTGTACTGTTTTTCTAGGCCATCTGAGCATAGTTAGTAGCTAACTATGATCTGAGGTATGCATTTATTATTCTGTAGAGTTTAAAGGAGTTGGATTACGGATTACCATCATCCTGGATTTCTCTGTGACTTTCTGGAAGCTTTCAAGCAATGTCACAAAATGAGGCCGAAGACCCCCAAGACTTTTAGGCGTTCTTCCAGTCAATTTAATATTTACCGATCAAGTTTTGATAAAAATAATTGATCTTGTCC